TGTGTGATCTCCTGTCCCAGCCTGAGGAACAGACAGTGAGTATCACTGTATCAATAATAATACTGTGTGTGATCTCATGTTCCAGCCTGAGGGACAGACAGTGAGCCTGTCTCTCAATAATAATAATAATACAGTGTGTGATCTCCTGCCCCAGCCTGAGGAACAGACAGTGGGCCTGTCTCTCAACATTAATAATACAGTGTGTGATCTCCTGTCCCAGCCTGAGTATCACTGTATCAGTAATAATACAGTGGGCTCCGCTTGTCCTGGCAGCTGTCTGGGGTCAAGGCAAGCTGCTGGAGCGCTGCTGCTCCCAGTATCCAGAATTCGCACGGCTCTTTTTAGAACAGGGAATTGGTTTGACTGCTCATTAACGTTTGGCAGCGAAGTGTCCAGCAAAGCCTAATGAAGAGTAAAATACAGAAACAAGCGGCGCGATCTGGCTGCAGCTGTTGCTATGGCTACCACCGACAGAAGGGAAATGTCGCACAGGAATCACACGCTGCCCCCTAGTGGAACAAGCCTGAAACTGCTTAGAGCCTGACTGTACCCTGTAAAGGCCCAGCTAGACAGTCTGATATAGAGACTGTACAGAGAGACACTGGATAGCAGCTCAAGAGAGCGTTAAAGACAAAGCAACCGGGATGCAGACATAGTTTTAAATGCTGTGTCGGAATGACGCTTTCTGCTGTTTCTGAAGCTCCCCCCCGTGCTACACCAGCAGTTCTGGTGTTTGGCCAGTAGGTGGCACAGGTGTCCGCTATTCGGGGGGGCGTCCGGAGTGCTTACAGCCCAGACTGTGACCCTTCACTGGGACTTCCGCGCTTCCATGGAAACGCCGGAACACTACAGGGGCAGGTCCAGTCACTACCCTGGTATCACCGGCTGAGGAAGAGGAGGAAGGAGGAAGGAGAAGGGGGGATGGGGGGAGGAGGTCAGTCCATACACGCTGGGTCTCTCGGTTGTGAGACACAGACCATACCGCTGACTATGGCTCGTTATCCATAGTCAAAGCAGATATGTTTACAGAGAATCATAAACGAGAACGGGACTTATAGGCCCTGAGAGTATTTACCATGGTACATTTCAGTGTTAGTCATAGAATACTTCCCTGGGCTATCCAATCTTACATTTGACCATAGCTTTCATTTACAAGTGTTTCGAGTTTCTACTGTTCTTCTTTGCTTCCATCCTTATTTCACTGGTCTTTACTGCGCTCTAATCCTCATTCAGTGCTGGCGACTGCTCTTTACTGTTCTTTCACCCTGATTTCGGAAGTCCTTACTGCACTGTACTGTACTGTGCATTGCTGTAGTAAAACGCGTTTCCCCACGGTACAAGCGAGCCCCGCTGGGGCAGGAGAGCTGTAGCTAAACTCCTCAAGAGAAAGCGAGAAAGCCACAGGCAGGCAGGAAGAGCTCCAGCGGGACATAACAGAGCATCACGCCCGCCAGCCACACGCCGACCCCCGCAGGACGATCGACCTGCACCGCCAGGCTCTGGGCTGGGCCGGGCTGTCCTGAGAAGCAGTTCTGCGCCTCGCTCTAATCAGAGCACAGGCTCACCTGCCACGGCTGTGTCCCCGGGACGCAGCTCCCACGGGGCCGACTCCGTGAGAGAGCGGTGCCGCGGGGTCATTAAAGGCCCGGGCCCCGCCGAGACAATCTGAGCTCTCCCCGCGAAGCGCCAGGAACTCGGCCGGGGAGGCACGTTTCCCTGCCCCCCCCCCGCTTCGATCGGTCCCGGCGGGTTTCCACGCCGGCCAGCTCTGCTCACACGACAGCACGGCGAGAGCTGCTCTCTCCCGTGTGCGGTGACGGTCACCTTCTCTAGCAGAGATGGAGACACTGCGTAACCGCTCTGTCCCAAAAACACGGGTTAGAAGGCAAGTAAGACAGATTCGTGGTGCCGTTTTATTCAGACTAACAGTAAGGGATGAACTTTGCATCGTCGGCACTATAAGTTTTTGAGTCTGAAAACCGGTCGGACAGCTGGTTTCGGCGCATCTTGAATTCTGGGCTACTCTACTTCTCTGAGGCGGGGGTGGGGGAGGGTGGGTTCGGTGAGTCCTGAATTCCAGTAAACTGTAGATCTCTGGGCCGGAGAGAGTTACAGGGGTCAGCCTGGGTAACAAAAAACCTTTAAGATTTACCAGCCAAAGCCGCACCCTAGTGACGGTTAATTTTGAAGCCAGCTCGTAAACTCGGACCCACCCCCCTTCTCCTCGCTGAGAGTGCTCTGGACCGCTTCCCTGCGGAAAGAACCGCGCATGTGCACTTCTACAGCCCGGTTTTCTGCGGTGTGAGCGGCTGTCAGGTGTGCGTCCGGCAGACACTTTTAACCAGCGATGGAGGAGACAGGCTCCATCTCTCGCACAAGTTAAGGTATCTCTTAGCAAAGAACCCCAGAGGGCCCCCCTTCACCACCGTAGCCTGGACAGCTTGTTCCACCCACCCACATCTCTGTG